GTCTGCAGATGAGTTTACAGCAACAATAAATCAATCTCAGAAAGTGTGAAAGTGTTATACAGAAAATGACTGTCCCTCCGATAACCTGGACCTAAAATGTAGCACAGGGGTGTCAAACTCAAGGCCCGGGGCCCGGATTCGGCCCACGGGGTGCTTCGATCTGGCCTGTGGGGCCACCCTGGAAACAACAAAGGTCCTGCCCGCAGTGCCTCTGCCAGTGAAAACAGAGCTCAGGAGGGCAGCCTGGCCGAGGGTTGCAGGAGACCATCGCAGCTGAAAATGGAGCTTGGGAGCCTGTTTTCGCTGGCAGAGCACTTGGGCCACCACAAGTGCTGACACGAGTAACATTGAGCTGGCCACACCCACCCTGGCCACGCCCATCCCAACCCCCCAAGGTCAAACACAATCCTGATGTGGCCCTCAATGAAATTGAGTTCGACACCCCCTTCAAAGTAGGACTTTAAATGTAATGAACAGCACTGTATTTTGCCTAGAAACAAGTTGGTAGTCACAATACTTTTAAGAACTGGCACTCTGTCGTCTCCTTGTCTGTTTCCCAAAAGCAACTTGGCCGATGGATTGACATTTCTAGGCTAGACAAAACGGTACCCCCAAATAGAATATACTACAAAACTGATATGGAGATAATTGTGGGCACCATCATTTTAAGACCATATTCTATCAGAATTGAATACAGTTAGCATGTGAAGTGCTCAAACCATGCTCCTTTCCATCTTTTTCAGTCTCAAAAATGTGCATTCTGCTTCTTCTGGGAGATTATAACCCCATAATTTCAGGATAAGCATTTCCCTGAAATTATGGCTCCTCCTAAGAAGGGTCTAATCTGGAATCCGTTTCAAATTATCCCATACTGAATGCAGGCAGACTTTCAGGCGAGTTGTATCATTTCCTGAAGATGTTGCAGAGAAATAAATCTAAGTGACAACAGGATACTGATAGTAACCACTTCATGCAGACGGAATAAAGCCTCAAGGGATAGTATGTAATAGTTTACAGTCTGAGGCACAACTGTCTTCAGATAACACCATCTGAATTTTGTTTCTTCCATTCAATCATGTCTGATTCTCAGAGACTGCCTGGACAAGTCCCTGTGGTTTTCTTTGTAAGGTTTTTCAGAAGTGATTTGCCACTGTCTTCTTCCTAGGGCAGAAAGAAAGTGACTAGCCCAAGGTCACCCAGCTGGCTTTGTGCCTAAGGTGAGACTAAAACTTATGGTCTCTTTGTTTCCAGCCTGATGTCTTAACCATTCTATCAAATTGAAATTTATCTGGGTGCAGTTCAAGATGCTGTAAAGCCTTGCATGGCACAAGGCCAGATTATTGGCTGGATTTTCTGCCTCCAACCATCTCTGTCGTCCCCCCCCAAACTAATAGAGTTGGCATGCTTCAGGTCCCATCTATTGCTATCATTTTGTGGGACCACCTAGGAGTCAAGCCTTTCTCTGTCATTTCATGTGAGCCATGGTGGCGCAGTGGTTAGAGTGCAGTACTGCAGGCTACTTCTGCTGCCTGCGGGCTACCTGCAATTTGGCAGTTCCAATCTCTCCAGGCTCAAGGTTGACTTCCATCCTTCCAAGGTGGGTAAAATGAGGACCCAGATTGTTGGGGGCAATAGGCTGGCTCTCTAAACTGCCTAGAGAAGGCTGTAAAGCACTGTAAAGCAGTATATAAGTCTAAGTGCTATTGCTATGTGCCCTTTGAAACAGTCACCCCATGGAGATCTAGTTAATCCCCATCCTGTTGGGTCTTTTGTGAGACATTAAAGACCGGCAGGTTTCTTCATGCATTTGAAAGAGACCTGATGTTTGGCTGTTTAACTGCTGTTTTAATGAAGTGGAATCTTAATGGTGTTTTTTTTTCCCAAAGCATCTAGATTTTCTTTGTTTTTCCTTGAAGATGTTTTGCTTCCTTGAAGTGAAATGACTTCAAGGAGAAATGAAGTCCAGTTGCCTTTGGAAAAAGCACCTTTGTGACAACCATGACCTGGATGAATGAGAATATCCATAGACTAGACAGGTGAAGTAGAATTAGTTTTGAGGCCAGGCATATGTTATATTTTGTTTTTTCTGTGTTGATTTATGAACTGTTAGTTTTGATTTTGATTGCTGTCTAGTATCACCTTGGAGAGATGGGGTGAAATCCAGCAGGTTCTGACAGGTTCTGGCAAACTGGTAGCAGAAATTTTGAGTAGTTCGGAGAACCGGCAAATACCACCTCTGGCTGGCCCCAGGGTGGGGTGGGAATGGAGATTTTGCAATATCCTTCCCCCAGAGTGGAGTGGGAATGGAGATTTTGCAGTATCCTTCCCCTGGAGTGGGGTGGGAATGGAAATTTTGCAGTATCCTCCCCCTGCCATGCCCACCAAGACACGGCCACCAAGCCACACCATGCCCACAGAACAGGTAGTAAAAAAATTTGAATTTCACCACTGTGGGTGACTATATAAATAGTATTAACAATTTAAGTAAATTCATAATGATCAATACCACTGAAGGCTGTTGAGAGCTCAAGAAGAATCAACAAAGTCACCAGTACTTTGCATTCTAAATCAAACATCATTCATCAGGTGGATCAAAGCAATCTCAGTCCTTCAGCTTCTCCTGAAACCAGTTTGAAATAGGTTAACATTTCTGCTTCTTCCAGCATCTCCTAAAGTTGAAAAACCATAACTCCTTTCCCAATTATGGAGGGTTAAATGCTTTCTTACTAGTTTCCATCTCTGAAAAACAAACAAAGAACAGAGTCTGGGTTGAATGACTGTTATGCAGGTATTACCCATTTTCTCATTGTCCTTCAAAGAAAAAATAAATGTGGTTTATGTTGTGCCATGTATGTCTAGCAACTGGAAAAACCTGAAACATAAATTTCAACTATTGAGAGAAAATCTGCAGCTTGATGTTGTGCAGATATATTAAACTCGAACTTTCAGAATTCTTCCATAGCATAATAAACAAAGAACTGTCTAACAATTCTGGGAATTGGTCCAAATTCCAAAACATATTGAGGACACCATATCAAGAACTTGTGATATAGCCTAAGCCATTCTCTGTTTTATAAACATGAATAGGTTTTGAGCATACTATCAGTCTTTTTTCTCCCCCTCCTATTGTTTTGTTTACAATTTTATTTGGCAAGAGTTCTAGGAAGTTGAATATATATACCTAACCTTTATGAACAGTTTTACTTTTAAATTCTTCACTGACATCCTTGCTTCAAATATCCTGTTTTCACAGGATGTGGGTGCAGCTATTTAAATAGTGTTTTGTGTTCATAGGACTTACTCCTAAATACGTGTGCATAAGATTTGAGATATTATCAATATCTAAGACAATATTTTATTACTAGATATCCAGGCTTTGCAGAATGATCTACCTTTTGCTCTTTATTTCCTTTGCTAAATGAGTGCAAACCTGAGCAAAGTCCCTAAATGAGGCAGTCGCTAAACAAGGACTACATATATATATATAGAGAGAGAAACCTGTCAAGCTCTCTACTGCATTCTGGATCTTTTGCAACCCAAATCTTGCAGCCCTGCGATTTGCCCATATTCCAGCAACTTTTTCCAATTGTCGTACCCTCCAAATGTCTTGGACATTGCAATCCCATTGTTGGAAGAAATATCCATCTGGTTCAGTTCCAAGCTGGGAGAAAGACACTGGAAATATGGAGATGGTTTAATGATGAATAGAACCATCAGCAGTCCTGGGTCAGCTGAACAATTGGTTTGATGAGTACATGGATTTTTATACAATTTGTTCTACAGCATTTTGTAATTTAGAGGCTTGTTTTGTGTATTTTGTTATTTGATTTTAATTAGTTTGTCTCAATGAGTCTAAAAGCAATGAGTCTAAAGTGCTGGCTTCCTTGGATTTTTAATCTTGTTTAACAAATGTAATTAATCCTAGATGCTGGCTTCCTTGGGGTTTTAATCCTGTCTTGAATAGATTACCAAATCTGCATTTTTAAAAGGTGGTCTCAGTTTTTTGGGGGTGGGTGGGGAGGGAGACTGAATCTGCTTTCCTCACCTTTAAGAGCATGCTTCTCCATTTCTCCCTCTGGGAAATATAATATTCTCCCTTTTTACTATTTCCCAAAATATTTAGTTCTTCTAGGAGAGGGGTGGGTACTAACTTCCTACACATTCAAAAAAAAAATCTGTGGAGCCTGCTTCCAGCATCTTGGGAAGGCATCAGACTGAAAAAATGCTAATGTTTGGGCTGGTTGGCTAGGAATGATGGAAATTGTTATCCAAGCCATCAGACAGGATTCCATGTGGGTCAATTCAGGGCATGTGTGTGTGTGTGTGTGTGTGTTAATGGACTTTGTTATCTTTCTGTTCCTGCTACCAGGGTTAAATATATCCTCATTTCCCCCTACACGTGTTTGCTTTCTTAAGAAAGAGCAACCTTTGCTCCCAGTTTCTATATAACTGAAGAATGAGTCAATCCGGAACTGGATCGCCTGCCTTGGGCTTTTTAATTGAAGGCCAGCAGAAATCCCTTTTACGTGGGACAACTTCCTCTCCCCTTCGGTTAAATATCACCCAGTGGCCGCCCGTTTAAAAGGTTAAAACGACTCCTTTCCTTCAGTGCTTTATTTTGCCCCTCGCAGCAAGGCGGGGTTTCTCTCGAAGCTGTATTCTTGTCGCTAAGCCATTGGCTGCAATTCACGCTTCCCCGCAGCCGACTGGTCCAAGGTTATTGGTCAGGCAGGACAAACCGAATAGCAAAGCAGAACAAATCCTCACTGACGTAGTTGGGATTTCCCGCCCACATTCCACACAGCTGGAATGGGAGGGGGGCGGGGCAAAGCAGCATTGGAACAAAGAAGGCGGGTCCCTAAGCACGGCGCAGCGGATTCTGATTGGGCGGGCAGCCTTAGAAGCAGGCTCGCTCGGCTTTGCGGATTGGCCAGGAGGGCGGAGTCCAGGCTTGGGTAGTGATGGGGGAGGTGTGGCCTGCAAGGGGGAAAAAAAACGGCCTCTGTTGTCACTGTGAAGTCGAAAGCGGTTGAGGGGAGGGTTAGTCGCGCGTTTGCGCTCCGCGAGACCGCCTGTCTGTGGTGGTTTCTCCTCATAGGAAAACAGCGACGCTTTTAACCTTTCGAATGCTATAGTGTTGTGGCGGTGTTTCCTTGGAAGTTTTTGAGTCTCCTTTTAAGCGGAGTAGCTCATTCCTGGGAGAGAAGGGAGCCGTGTGTGTGTGTGTGTATATGTGAGGGGTTTTGCCTGGGTTTCTTGCTTAAGTGGAAGCCGCTCCTAAATGACGCTCCACCTTATGGAACAAGGCTGCTTCCCAGGACGGTGTTAAAAGGGCGGCTGAGAGGGTTCCGACATCTGTTCCCTTCCTTTGTGTGTCCCCCCCCACACGCGGTTTTTGGTTTTTTTTGCTCGGCCCCCGACTGACTATGGAGGTGCTGGAAAGTGGGGAGCAGAACCTGTTCCAGTGGGATCGAAAGTTGAGTGAGCTGTCGGAACCGGTGGACTCCGAGGCCCTCCTCTACAACACGGTGAGAAACGGGCGTCCATTGCAAAAGTGGGGTGTAGTAGAAAGGCTTGGCTGGCTGGGTGAACGAATATTGAGGAAGGGGAGAGTAATTTTCTTGCCGAAGGAAGAAGAGCAACAAGTTTCCAGCTGCCTTCAAAAAAGGGAATCCTGGCTCTTAGCAATCTGGGTTTGCAAGGAGAAAGAAGCCTGGCTGGCTTTGGTATATAATATAGAAATGAAATCCAACACCCTTCAAAGAGAGCATCATGGTGTGGGGCAAGCTGATGCAAGAGAGTTAAAAAAAAAATTGGGGAAAAAAAAAGAATTGATCTGGACTCGGGTTTCTTTATGGTTTTATCTTCTTTTTTGCCTTCTGGGCATAAGTTTTCCCCTTTCTGGGGGAAAACGGATCTTCTGAAAAGCTTTTGGTATTAAAGGACTTCCCGGAGGGACTTTCCCAGATGCAGTAAATATGGTGGAGAGCCTGGAGTTAGGGAATTTCAGCAGAAGTGAAAGAGGGCCTCTTAACGGGAAGAGGAAATCAGTTGAATGTTTTGCTTCTCCAAAACCCGTCTGCACCAGAGGAAGAACCAGAAAACACTTGTCTCCCAACAATTTTTCTTTCTTCGAAAAGCCCTGCCGCATAACTTTTCGGTGCTCTTTTCCTTCCTGTTTTGCAAGTCAAGGAGTTCCTATAAGTTGCCCGTGAGGAAAGAGTAGGCTTGCGGGAGGTATAATAACGGTCTCTTGCTTGGGTAAGATTCTGGTGCCGTTGAAAAATGTAGGTCTGGCATTCCACTTTTCCCCTCTTACAATCCCATCTTGTCATTGCTATCATTACATGAGCCAGTTGGGAAGGGAAGGGAGGCCTAGGAATCCAAGAAATATTTACAGTGGTTTTTGCAAGGGTAGTTATGAAAGAAACGGTGGACGAAACGAGAAGCAGCAATTTATGCCAGATGTTTGGCTTTTTGTCCTTGGTTGAAGAATGTCAGTTAGTGGATTTAAAGAACTCAGACTGTCAGGGAAGGACAGGGTAGACCTTTTTAAAAAAAAATTAAAAATTTCTAACATTGAACAAAAGTAGAAGGCTTCACTTTTGTCTAAGTCTACTTGAATAAGTCATTCTTTTTTAAAAAGTAATTTGTTGAAGGGAAGAGTGATTTGAAGTGCGCAGAATAGATTTTATGTATGATGAACATCAAAATCACCTCCCCCCCTCCCCCAAAAAATAAAAATAAAGAATGCTGCACTTTAGGAGTACGTACTTGTTTTACACATTCCTCTAAAACAGGAGTGTCCAATCTTGGCAAATTTAAGACCTGTGGACTTGAACTCCCAACACCCCCCCCCCCAATTCTGGGTGTTGAAATCCACAAGTTTTAAAGTTGTCACGGTTGGACACCACTGTCCTAAAATTTGGTTTATTGAACTATCCTTTATTGTCCAAGTCAAAACGGTCTCACCAAGTACACTAAAACACAAACCATGATTTCCAAATGATAATGGATGGGTTCAAATAACATACTAAATTAAAAATAATGCTGTGCTTTACTGTGAAATGGGAACTTAGCCAAATGTCAGAATGGCTATACTTGGAAATTGCATTAATAGATGTTATGGTATAGTAACTTATCATCCATCTACATTTGTCAATAATGTTTGTCATCCTCAGCCAACATGATTGATGGTATGAGTTGTGTCAGGTACTAAATTGGGGGACTCTGGTCCCTATTTATCCTACCCATATAGATTTTTTTTTTTAAACTCGGGTTTAAATTTGCATCCCTTCAGTTGTTGTTGAATGATAACTCCTAGAATTTCTTTTAATGACCATGAAATTTTTAGACTGCTCTGCCTTTCCTATTTACTGCACTATTCACATGCCCTTTTGTCACCTGTTAGAATGACCAAGAAAAATAACTCTTCTTGTGTAAGATAGATACATATGTAAGTCTTTAAACTGGATTCTTCTCCAGTTTAAAGGCAATAGATGATGTGGAAACTCTTAAAAATAGTTTCCTGTCAGAATAATAGTACTAATGTCAATGATCAAACTATCTAACATGAGATAACCAAGTTATTTCTGACTATCTAACAAGATTAAAGTTTATAAAGCTAAAATTATTGTTTTAGTCTTATTGGTCACCCAACTCCAGTTTTAAATATTTTAATATCTAGTTCTTTGTGAATAGAGTATTAGAAGAAAATTAAAAAATGCTTAAAATTGTAACTTAAAACTATAGAAATATAATTGTCAGAAATAAGGATGCTAACTTATGCATCTTCCTCTATTAAAGGATTATTTTTTGTGAGCCCTTGCACATATGCTAAATCATAGAATCTTATTTCTCATTATGGTTATTTGCTGTGTTTGAGTTGGTACATATGATAATGTAATCCAATATTTTGTGGTACAGCTTTTAATAATATAACGTGCTGTTCTCTGCTTTGGTCACTTGAATTTTCTCATGCTTTTTTTTAATATGTGAAAAAATGATTTGGGGATAGGTGTTCGGTCTTTTGGTGTGGCTTAGCAAGAACATATTAACAAATTGTGTTTAGCCTCACAATTGGTTGGGATGATTTTCAACAAAATGTTAGTAGATGTAGTTTTTTCTTATAAGACTTCAGGGATAGAAATTGAAGCTCACAAAAGTAATTTTTAGTTTAACAGACCTTATTCTCAAATAACCATTCCACCATTCATTGGTGGAAGATAGATTTGATTTTTAATTGCTAGCAATAAAAAATATTTCAGAGTAGGCAAGTAAATTTACTTAAAGAATTAAAAAAACCATACAAAATTCAAATATCGGTAATCCTAAAATTAGTCTAATATCAGCAAAAATATAACCAAAATACTAATTTCTTTATCATACATTTGGGCTCCTCTACAACTTACTTTTGTTTCCTTTTTAATTATATTTAAAGTTATTATTCTATTTTAAGTATTTGGATGGACAATTAAAGTCAGTATTCAGGTGGCTGTGTGAAAGGCTGGTCCAATATCTCTGAGTAATCTTCAAGACTGGAAGGATTAGAATATGATCCCTGGACTTCATCTTTTAATAACCCCTTCACATTAGTTTTCAGTTAAAATCTGGAGAGAATGGGGTGAACTCATAAATATACGAACAGAGTTGCAAAAAAAACAAACATCCTGGTGATTAGACAGAAAAGTAAAAAAGGGAAAGTGTACTGTTATTTGGCCCCCAGTAATTAAAAAGCTACAACAATAGACAGATTTTGCATCAAACTCCCCTCTCATCCATCCAGATTTGTATACTGAGGTCAAGAGCTTGTCCATACCTCAACCCCTTTCTTGAACACCAAATAGTTGCATCTTTGAGCTGTTCCTTGAAGAATTCCATTTGAATTCAGTCCAGACAAATACTAATTTTGAAATGTGATGGTGTAAGTGTAAGGACTAGGGGTGACATGATAGCAGTGTTCCAATATCTCAGGGGCTGCCACAAAGAAGAGGAAATCAAGCTATTCTCCAAAGCACCTGAGGGCAGGACAAGAAGCAATGGATGGAAACTAATCAAGGAGAGAAGCAACTTAGAACTAAAGAGAAATTTCCTGAAAGCTAGAACAATTAATCAGTGGAACAACTTGCCTCCAGAAGTTGTGAATGCTTTAACACTGGAAGTTTTTAAGAAGATATTGGATAACCATTTGTCTGAAGTGGTGTAGGGTTTCCTGCCTAAGCAAGGGGTTGGACTAGAAAACCTCCAAGGTCCCTTCCAACTCTGTTATTCTGTTCTGTTTTCCCAAGTCTCCTGCTTTCAGGAGCAGATTGTCTTCATTAGGTATGGCTTCCAAATATATTCAAGGGAAGCTGCAATGAAAATGTGTTTTCCACAAGGTTGTAGAGTTTCTGTCTTAAAAGGGCCATCATACAAAACGGATTAATTGAAAATCTCCCTCATAGTTGGAAGAGGCACCTTAAATTGGGCACATACTTTGCATGTGTAAGATTTTCAGCTCTATACCTGGAATCCAAGGAAAGCAGATTGATTTCTTCTTTGCTGGGAATTTTTGGGAGTCATGTGAACAGTTGAAGGTCATTATAAGTTGGAAGAAGTTGCACTATAAACCTGTCTTGAAGACCTTGCAATCTAATATGGGGCCCAGAGAAAAGAGACGAAGAGTTAAACTGGAAAGGAATATGTTTTGATTTGAAATCCATATGTTTGTGCTATGTTACAGGATGTATTAAGACCTACTGTGTGTGATTCTGCTAAAGGATTTTTGAAAATGATGACTTCTCAGAATGAATTTGAAGGAAATAAGAGCTGGGGGAAGAATGAAGAAAGTGTTGAGTCTCTTGAGAGGAGGAGTTTTGAATGGTAGAAGATGATGAAGCTGGTTGCTTGTAGATCCTAAGTTAGAATATGCTGATAGGTAAGAGCAGAACAATATTGCGAGTTGAAAGTAGGGAGATCTGTGCAGTACTGGATCCAGTAATGGTTGGATAATTACGGATAAAGGCTAGGTGATCATTTGAACATTATTTAAGATTATCAAACATTGAATTAATCCAGTATTTGCTCATCTTCTGCATCATATCCAAATGTTAATAACAGTTGTGAATACCTTTACAAAGTTATGCATTTGTGTAGTTTCAATGACTAAGTTACAAACTGGGTTAGCCTTGAATAGGGTGTCACACTCAAGGGCCATGGGATGCTTAGATATGGCTTGCGGGACCGCCCTGGAAAGAAGTGAAGGACTGGCCTGCGGTGCTTCTGCCAGCGAAAATGGAGCTCAGGTTTGTTGCATGAGGCCGTCGCAGCCAAAAACGGAGCTCGGGAGCCCGTTTTCACTGGCCAAGCACTCGGGCCACCACAGGAGTGATATTGAGCTGGCCACACCCACCCTGGCTTCCTGAGGTCAAATACAACCCTGATTCAGCCCTCAATGAAATCAAGTTTGAAACCCCTGGCCTAGAATTATAACAGTAATGTAGCATGTATATAATGAGAACTCAGGGTTTATTCAGTAAACTAATTAAAT